AAGAAGAAGAAGAAGAAGAAGAAGAAGAAGAAGAAGAAGAAGAAGAAGAAGAAGAAGAAGAAGAAGAAGAAGAAGAAGAAGAAGAAGAAGAAGAAGAAGAAGAAGAAGAAGAAGAAGAAGAAGAAGAAGAAGAAGAAGAAGAAGAAGAAGAAGAAGAAGAAGAAGAAGAAGAAGAAGTTGAAGTTGGAAGGGACCTTGGAGGTCATCTAGTCCAACCCCTTGCTCAGGCAGGAAACCCTATAGACCATTTCGGACAAATGGCTGTCCAGTCTCTTCTTAAAAACCTCCAGTGTTGGAGCATTCCCAGCCTCTAGAGGCAGGTTGTTCCACGGGTTAATTGTTCTAAGTGTCAGTAGCACAGTGCAGTGAGACACGTACAGATCTGTACAGTGGAGAAACAAAACAACAACTTCACATGCTCCTGGCGCAACGCAGGAGAACAAAGCTATCGGGACCAGACACAACAGTCCGTCTTCATGTGAAAGACATAGGCCGGTCTTTCATAGACAACAAAAGTCCACATTCTGGACAGAGAGGACCGCTGGTTTGAAAGAGGGGTCCAAGAGACCATCTAGGTCAAAATTGAACAGCCCCCTCTCAGCAGAGGCGGTGGAGGATACGAGACCACCCATCAGAAGGGTTAATACCACTTTACAAGGTCTTGGTAAGGCCACACTTGGAACACGGCATCCAGTTTTGGTCACCACGATGTAAAAAAGATGCTGAGACTCTAGAAAGAGTGCAGAGAAGAGCCACAAAGATGATCAGGGGACTGGAGGCTAAAACATATAAGGAACGGTTGCTGGAATTGGGTATGTCTAGTTTAACGAAGAGAAGGACGAGGGGGGACAGGATAGCAGTCTTCCAGTATCTCAGGGGCAGCCATTTGTCTGAAATGATATACGGTTTACTGCCTGAGCAGGGGGTTGGACCAGATGACCTCCAAGGTTCCTTCCGACTTTTTTTTTATATTATTATTATTATTATTATTATTATTATTATTATTATTATTATTATTATTATTATTATTATTATTATTATTATTATTATTATTATTATTATTATTATTATTATTCTATTCTATTCTATTCTATTCTATTCTATTCTATTCTATTCTATTCTGCATTTTACTATTCTACTCTGCATTTTATTATTCTATTCTATTCTATTCTATTCTATTCTATTCTATTCTATTCTGCATTTTACTATTCTATTCTGCATTTTATTATTCTATTCTATTCTATTCTATTCTGCCGTCTCTCTCTCTCTCTCTCTGTTTCTTTCACACACACACACACACACACACACACACACACACACACACACACACCTCTCACTTCCGAAATCGTGTAGGTTTTCCTGCCTGAGCAGGGGGTTGGACTAGACTCCAAGGTCCCTTCCAACTTTATTATTATTATTATTATTATTATTATTATTATTATTATTATTATTATTATTATTACTACTATTATCTCCTGTTTACAACACGGTCCTTTCAGCAGTTACAAGAGGGCTCCACACCGATAATGCGGTATTCAGGTGACCCCGAAGGCACAGATCGACCCTCAAGTGGCCTCAAGAATTCTCAGGAAGAGCGCTAACGTCCAGATGACTGCAGGGAACACAAACCCTTCCATCCTCCACCGTTCAGTCAGAACTGAAGAAGGATGAGAAGCGAGACTTCTTCTAACTCCAGTCACCTTTTGGAAAAAGCCCCTTGGGGACCGCGACCAGGTAGGGGGGCCCTTGTGGTCTCCAAGGCTCTGTCTGGTGGGACCCCGCTCCCTGGCCTCGGCCTCGTTTGGATGGCCTCATCAGGGACCCACAGGACAGGTTTTCTTCCTCACCCACTCCCCTGTTTCAGACACAGCCAAGGTCTTCCCAGCAGGAAGGGATTGTTAACAGCAGGAGGTGGGGAGGTGAGGGCCCTGCTGCCTGCCTGTCCGGCGACCCCTTCCCATTCAGAGAGGTGGAAATTCCCACCGCAGCAGCTCCATTCGTACCTGTAAAGGTCCTGCGAAGAATCCGATCAGGCACAAGACCTGGACTATCCGGAGGGTCGGGGTCTTCATGCTGACTCCTGAGAAAAGAAAGACAAGGGGGGTGTGTAAAGCCCACCCGGGATCTCAATAAAATGTCGATCGATTTAAGTCGTACCAATAAAGGGGAAGCTTTGTCGCTGAGGGTTAGATTTAGGGTTAGGGATCCCTAGTCCTCCCTGAGCTGGGTGGTTTTCTTGTAGACATTTCATGACCCGGGGTCCCTTCCAGCTTCTATTCTATTCTATTCTATTCTATTCTATTCTATTCTATTCTATTCCATTCTATTCTATTCTATTCTATTCTGCATTTTGTTATTCTATTCTACTATTCCACTGTACTCTATTCTACCTATCCTATCCTATCCTATCCTATCCTATCCTATCCTATCCTATCCTATCCTATCCTATCCTATCCTATCCTATCCTATCCTATCCTATCTAGTCTAGTCTAGTCTAGTCTAGTCTAGTCTAGTCTAGTCTGGAAGGAAAGAAACAGTTGATGCTTCCCCAGCCATCTCAGAACCACATTAAAAGTTGGAAGGGACCCTGAGGTCTTCTAGTCCAACCCCCTCCTGAAGCAGGAGACCCTTACCGTATCAAAGAGTTGGAAGGCACCTTGGAGGTCATCCAGTCCAACCCCTTGCTCGGAGCCCCTACAGCATTTCAGAGAAGTGACTGTCCAGTCCCTTCTTGAAAGCCTCCAGCAACAGAGCACCCACAACATCCGGTGGCAAGCAGTTCCACTGGTTACATGTCCTCCCTGTCAGGAAATTTCTCCTTACTTCCATGTTGCTTGTCTCTCGGATCAGTTTCCAACTGTTGTTTCCTGTCCTGGCCCTCAGGAGCAGCCTTCACACAAACCCGGGTGAACCCCAGATCCCAACCAAGGCTGTTTCTGTTTCATCTGTCACTTTTTAAATATAACATTTCTATGGCACCAAACTCACCTGTGCAGCTCTGGGCAGTTGGCAGCAGTATAATAAAGTGATTCGAACCGCTGAATAAAAGCATGTAGATTAAAAACAACAGATTCAGAATTAATATTTCTTGGTGGATTCCACCCGAACCCGCCCAGCTGTCCCACTTACACAGTTGTGATGTCAAGTTGAAGCTTGAGCAACTCCTTGGGGCTCGGCAGGATTGTGGTCACCTCGAGCAAAGTGGCTCCTTAAGAGGTGTTTCGGTGGCCCCTCCCCGGCTGAGCAACTGCCAATGGTGGAGAGGGCAAGCCGGGCGAGGCCCTTGGGGCAGGAGGGGCACTGTCCAAGGAGAAAAGTGATGGGGGGGAACACGAGAAGGGAGCCAGGAAGCACTTCTGATGCCAACCCCCCAACTCTGGTGGGAAATCCCCAGGGCTGGGGGAGAAAGGGACTCCCTGTTAAACCAAGCAGGAAGAAAAATATAGGATAGGATAGGATGGGATATGGAATATGAAATATGGACTAGAAGGAATAGGGAATGGAATAGGGAATAGAGTGGAGTGGAGTGGAATGGATGGGAATGGAATGGAACAGAACGGAATTGAATGGAATAGGGAATAGACTAGAATAGACTAGAATGGAATGGGATGTGATGGAATGGAATGGAACTGAATGGAATAGGGAATAGAGTAGAATGGGATGGGATGGGATGGGACGGGATGGGATGGGACGGAATGGAATAGAACGGAATGGAATAGAACGAAGTGGGATGGGATGGGATGGGATGGAATGGAATGGAATGGAACTGAATGGAATAGGGAATAGAGTAGAATGGGATGGGATGGGATGGGAGGGATGGGATGAGATGGGATGGGATGGAATGGAATGGGATGGGATGGGATGGGATGGGATGGCACAACCTAGGAGAACAAACCCATCAGGACAAGATCCAAAAGTCCACATTCTGGACAGAGAAGACCGCTGGTTGGAAAGAGGGGTCAAAGAGTTGAAAAAGCACCTTTGGGACAATGACAAAAAGCGAGAAGGGCCTTGGCCTAGTTTGGATGGCCTCACAATGTCCCATATGGCAGATTTTCTTCTTCACCCGCTCTCCTTTTTTAGACACAATCAAAATGTTGTCAAGTGGAGAGGGGAGGACTGCCACCTGCCTATCTGGCAGCCCCTTTCCATTCAAAGAGGTGGACACTCCTGCTGCTGAAGCTGCTCCATTTCTACCTGCAAAGGTCCTGTGAAGAGTTTGATCAGGCACAAGACCTGGACCATCTGGATGGTCGGCGTCTTCATGGTGGCTCCTGGGAAAAGATAAAACAAGGAGGAGCCACAGTTGCATGTAAACCCCATGCAGGATCTTAATAAAACTTTGATGGATTTAAGGGACCTTGAAGGTCTTCTAGTCCAACCCTGCTCAAACATTGCACCTACACCATTTCAGACAGGCGGCTGTCCAGTCTCTCCTTCAAAGCCAAGAGGCAAGGTCCAGAAAACCCACCCACAGACAAAAGGGTTTTGTCTGCAGCAAAGTGAAGGCTTACCTGGGCCAGGTCCATCAGTTAGGTTATCGTTGGAGTCCCTTTGTGGTTGCCAAATTGTTGAGAGAATCGGTTCAGGTCCGTTCTTTCTCCCAAGCCGGGAGAGAAGCGACGAGCGAAAATCAAGACCTAAGGCAAGCTGCTTATGAAAAGGAGATTCCCTTTATTTCCAAATAACAGCAACAAGGGGCTCTTGGGGGCAGCTAGTAAATTGGGGTTCTTGGTGAGTTTTTATATGTTTTCAGTTCTTTGTTATCAATGTATGGATATCTGTTCTTTCCACAATACTCTAATTGCTGTTATACATTTTCCTTTTGTTGTGTATGATGCTCCGGCTGATCTTTGGGGCTAAGGGAAATGTGAGTATAAATGTTTTTGGTTTTCTAATTTGGCCCTAGGCTGCGTAATCAGTTTCAGTCCTTTATGCAGTCGGCCCATCTTTTCAGAGATTGCTTTGTTAGGCTTTGTTGTGCTAATATTTCCCACCACTGGAGAGAGCGTTAAACTCCGGTCATATCTTTTAACTTCTAGAGCATATCAATCATTATATCCGTGCCATTTTAATCTCCTTTATTAATTTGTTACTAAATCACCAGGCTACAGAAATAAGAGTCGGAGTTTCCTTAGAGGTGCCCAGAAAGAAAACGGGGAAGAAAAGTGACTGATAAGACCCCATTTTAGGACTGGGAGCAATTGTTAATGAGAAGGAGCTTGGCTGTTTTGTGCCATGTAAAATAAAACAATAAAATAAATAAAAAATTAAAATAGAATAATATAATAAAAAATAAAAAAATAAAATATTCAAAGAGGTGGAAATTCCCACCGTAGCAGCTCCGTTTTTACCTGCAAAGGTCCTGGGAAGAATCCGATCAGGCACAAGACCCCGGCCATCCGGAGGGTTGGGGTCTTCATGCTGACTCCTGAGAAAAGAAAGACAAGGAGGAGCCACAGTGGCGTGTAAATCCCACCCAGGATCTTAATAAAACGTTGATCAATTTAAGTCGTACAAATAAAGGGAAAGCTTTGTCGCCGAAGGTTGAAATGAGGGGGTTCTGGGGGCTCTCTAAGTTTGGTGGTTTTCTTGAAGACCTTTCATGACCCAAAAAAGGGAACATCATCAGTGCTAGAAGAGAGGGGGGTTTGTGAAGAGCAGGAGGAGGAGGAGGAGGAGGAGGAGGAGGAGGAGGAGGAGGAGGAGGAGGAGGAGGAGAACGACGACGACGACAATGACGACGATGACTCTGGGGTCCTTGGTTCTCTCTGAGCTTGGTGGTTTTACTGAAAATGTTTCATTCCTAAACTAGAGAACATCAACAGTGTTAGAAGAAAAAGGAGGGTCATCCTCCTCCTTCTTCTCCTCATCTCCACAAACCTCACTTCCTTCTAGCACTGATGAAGGTCCCTAGTGGGGTCTTGAAATGTCTGCAAAAAAAGCCAACAACAAGAACCCTACAGTCCTCCTCCTTCTCCTCTTCTTCTTCCTCTTCTTCTTCTCCCCCTCCCCCTCCTCCTCCTCTTCCTCCTCCTCCTCCTCCTCCTCCTCCTCCTCCTCTTCTTCTTCTTCTTCTTCTTCTTCTTCTTCTTCTTCTTCTTCTTCTTCTTCTTCTTCTTCTTCTTCTTCTTCTTCTTCTTCTTCTTCTTCTTCTTCTTCTTCTCCTCCTCCTCCTCCTCTTCTTCTTCTTCCTCCTCTTCTTCTCCACCTCCTCTTCTTCTCCTCCTCCTCCTCCTCCTCCTCCTCCTCCTCCTCTTCCTCTTCCTCTCCTCCTCCTCCTCCTCCTCCTCCCTTCTCCCCTCCCAAGCAAAAAAGATGTTGAGACTTTGGAAACAGTGCAAAGATGAGCGACTAAGATGATTAAAGGCCTGGAGACTAAAACATATCAAGAACAGTTGCAGGATTTGGGAATGGCCAATCTAGAGAAAAGAAGGACTGGTGGTGGTGTGGGGGGGGCATGATAGCATAGACTAAAGAATAGAATAGAATAGAATAGAATAGAATAGAATAGAATAGAATAGAATAGAATAGAATAGAATAGAATAGAATAGAATAGAAGTTGCAAGGGACCTTGGAGGTCTTCTAGTCCAACCCACTGCTCAAGCAGGAGACCATCTACCATGAATGAATGGCAAGATTTGCAAGTGGGGAATTGTTCTCCCCAAATAGACCGACGTGAATATTCATTGTTTATTTTTCTGTCTTATTTTGAATTCTTTTGGCTACTTCCTTGTGCTAATATTGGCCACCGTTGGAGAGCTCCTTAAACCACCAGTGGTTTTTTTTTAGAACCTCTAGGGTGTATGAGTAATTCTCTCTGGCCCATTTTCATCCATTTATTAATGAGTTACTCAATAACCAAGATACAGGAATAACAGCCAGAGCTTCCTTAGAGGTTCCCAGGAAGAAAACAGAGAAATATCAAGTGGCAGATCCCACCCAATTCTAGCACTGGGAGAGACTCTTAACGACATGAGTTTGACTGTTGTGTACCCTGTAAATAAACTAAAAGGGGAGATTTGAGTGTGAAGCAGTGACTGTCCCAAAAATGAGGAGAATACCTTCTCAA